TCCTTCCTACAATAAAATTTGGGAAGTCAATTACCATCTCCTGCGACCTTATTAGTCGCATCGGCCACCTGCTTCACAAGATTCGCTCCAACATTTTTTGCTTTATCTGCAAACTCGATACTTTTGGCTACCGTGACCCCATCCTTTGTGACCTTGGGCTTCCCATGCTTCTGAATAATTACATTACGCCCCTGCACAGAATTTGAAGAGTTACTAATTCTCATTACCCCATTTCTTGAATTTTTCAATTAGCTTCCCAACACCAACGAGGACTCAAAGATACCTTCGGCCCCATTGTAACTTTTACAGCTTCCGCGAGGTCATTAACTCCGGCAAGCATGGCTGCACGAGCTCCGGTGCCAAAATTAATATCCTTGGCGACATAATTTCTGACATAAACCCTACTACCAACCTTCTCATTCAACCATGAAAACAAGGAGTGAAGAAAATAAATCAGTAAGTACAAAAAAGGAAGTAAATCTTACAAAACCATAGTTTGATTCAAAGTTACCAGATTTCTTGAAGTAGATGACCTGCACACAGAACCATCAAGAGATTATCACTACGAAATTGGATATTCAAATTTGTTGATACATGGAAATTAAAGTTTTCTTCTCGTGGCGAACCTTAGTGATGAAGCAATGGCAGTGGCGGCGAACCTGTACATGGTGAAATCAAGAAAAAATGGTGAGGAAACAAAGGGAAGCTGAAGAAAGTTGATTGGGGCTGTAGGGTTTTTGAGGGTGAATAATGTGTGAGCTTCAAGACTGGAATTTTGGGGTTCAGGGTTTAAGGCTATTCTAGAAACCTCCATCACATTTACTGGTATCGTCATTTTTTTATTATTATTTTTTCTTAAGAAAGAGGAATAATATTTATCTATTTCATGAAACATTCAATCAATGGAAAATTTGACCCCAACTTTTTAAAATTATATAAATTTAGGGCTTGAATTTTATTTTATTTTAATAAAGTATTCACATTTTAAGTTATTATCAATTTAAGCTTACTTTATTTTATTTTATTTTTTCAATGTAAACATAATCTAATTTACTTTTTAATATAAACATAATATTATTGTTTATAGTCTATATTTTATATATTGATAACAATAATACAGTTAATATTAACAATAACTTAAATTAAAAAAAAAACATATATATATATATATATATATACGAAAATTAATTGCTACAAAACTAATGAAAAAATATCTTTTATTTATCAATGATTAATTTGAGTAAAGAGTATAATTTTAAGTATATTTTAACTTTTTTAATAGATATGTCTGATCTTGCCCAACCAATACAATAATTTATTTTATAGTTTATTTGGTTAGCTTATAAACTCTCTCTATTCAAATAAGTTTCGTTTGGTATGATGAGTTTTTTTAAAAAAACTCGAACTTATTTAGGCTATGGCCTTGTTTGGTGATCAGCGGATAGCGGATAGCAGATTGTATTAGCGGATAGCGGATTATATTAGCTGATTTGACTAGCGGATTGCATTAGCGGTTTTTTAATAAGTGTTTGGTAAATAGCTGAAAGCATATAGCTGTTTGACATTGCAAATTACCAATAAGAACATTTTATTATTTAGGGTGTATTCTTTTAATAATAATATGTTAAAACATTTAATATTTTTTAGTTGGTAATTTATAAATATATATATATTTTTTTAATTTTACTAACACTTGATTAAGAAGTTACGAATTTTACATTTTTCTAGATAAATTAAACATATGGATGACATATTATTATTTGTTAGCATCATAAACCAATGTAGATTGTAAAATAAACGATACAAATTAAAAAATTCTAAATTAAAATTGTAGATTGTGAATCCTCTATCCCCAAAAAGCTCCTCTAATGAGTTTTTTCTAAATTAGAGTTTTGGGCCTAAAAAGCTTATCAAATAAGCTATTTACCAAACAAGTTCAATAGCGGATTTGACGGGTCAAACATCTCAATTAAGTCCAATCCGCTAATTTATCCTCAATCCGCTATCTTCCAAACGGGACCTATGTTTGGTAAAATTAGCTGATAAATCAGCTGATAGCTAATAAGCTAGTTTGTAGCTTATCAGTCATTTTTTAGCTTATAGCTCATGACTTATAGGTGAAAAGTTAACCAATATAATAAAAAGGCTAAATTGCATATAAAAGCACCACCTTTCATGTTTTTGCAATTTAATCACTACCTTTGCAATTTAGCAATTTAATACACCACTTTAGTTATTTTTTGCAATTCGAATCACAGGGCCCAATTTTGGGCCTGTTCTGGTGACGTGGAGGCCCGTTCTGCTGATATGGCATTTTTGTGATGACGTGGTGTTTCCACGTGTCAATGACGTGGCATTTTTGGGCTGACATGGCGACCCATGTGTCAATTAAAAAAAAAAAAAATTATGTTGCACGCTTTGAGATTCGATCCTGGGTTGAAGGGGTTAAAGGGTAGCCTTAGCTACCACCACACCAGCTCAACTTAGTTGTTAAATGTGATAACCCTTTATATATATACACATTACATTACGTATGGAGAAATCAAATTAAATCTAAAAAAATAATTTAATTATATTAAATAAAATTATATAAAATTGAATTAAAAATAATATATTAAGATAATTAAAATATATTTTTTCGAATTCATATTTTGTGTTAGAGTGAATCATATTAATAATATTATATTCATTTAATATTTTTATTTATTTATTTAAAATAAATTTATAATAAATATAATAACTTATTATTATATAATAAATTATTATTTCATTTAAGTTTTTTTAATATTTTATTATTTTATATAAAATAACAATTTTTTTTTATTATTCATTACGATTATTTAACATTTTATTTACTTAAATTATATTTTTAATTTATTATATTTATTTAAGATTTTTATTTATTTTTATTTATTATTTCATAATAAGTTATATTTATTAAAATATAATAAAAATAATATAACATAAGATGATAAAGTATAAAAAAGGTAATTCAAATAAAATAAAATAAAATAATAAACAAAATAACTGATTATTAAATAATAAATAATGAAAATCTTATTTATTAAATATTATTAATATGGTTTACTCTAACACAAAATATGAATTAATAAAACTCTATTTTTTAATTATCTTCATTTATTTTATTTTCATTTAATTTAATTTAATTTATTATAATTTTATATTTAATTAATTTATTATAATTAATTTTATATTTTAATATAATTTATTCATACGTAATTCCTATATATATAAATAGTTATTGAATATGTTAACTAACATGGATAAGTGAGTTGGTAGCATAGTTACTTTTCTCCCATGGAGACTGTTAACATCCGGATCGGTAAACCTGTATTAAGAAATTCCAGATGACACATTAGAAGGAAGATGATCATTGAACCGACGTTATTACCAACACCACCCCGGTTCAGGCGACAGACCGGACCGAACTACCGAAGACCGAGGTCAACATCCACCGAGGTCAACATGAACCGAGGTCGTCACCTCCTTAAGCAGGTGACAAGGTGCCTACGAGAAACTTTCCTACTCCACAAGATCTGTCATCATTTATGTGGGACCCCCTGCCTCAAACCGCCCACAAAAAGCCACTTTATTCGAAAAAGC